AGCGCAGAAATTTCAACAAAAAGCAGAAAATGGGACATTATCCCAACGCAAAGAGCCTATTAAACACAACTATTTTACAAGCGAAAAAAAAAATTTCGAAAGGAAGTGAACAGAAATGCAAGAAACCGGGTAGCACTTAGAAAATATGTCTTCTAAGAAACCACATTTCCAGAAAAAAAAATTTCGTCAATGTACATTTCCAGAATTATTTCAAGCAAAATTTGAATCCATCGGGTAAGCACTGTTCAATTTCATCACGAAATCTCCTACTTAACTGAAATCGCGCAGTACTGTTTGCTGTGAGCATTATTCCAAATATTTCACTGACTCTTTCGGCTTCACCTTCTAAATCTCTGCAGTCGGCTAGTGCAAATGTTGTAACCGGAGCCTGGAAACGAAAACAGTTGAAATCCCAATTCCAGCAAAAAATGTGGTGCATTAATAAAAGAACTAAGCTCAAAAAAATCCACAGTTACCCTTCCAGCAGTGGCTACTGTTGGCAGTGTATTGTCAGTCGCGCTACTTCTAAATGCATTCACTCATCACAGTGCATAGACGTCTGAACTGTGGCTCAGAAATCTATTAGCTAAAAATTCTAGGTGTGCAGAAAAAGCAATGAAAAAATGTTTCTGGAAAATACTGGTCTAGGAAGCGGAATTTTTCGATTTCATATAAAATCAATAAAAATGAGGTTTTCCCAATCTATCCCATTGTGCTCTTCTTAAATTAAATACAATAGAAGAGCCAAAAACAGTGGAACAGAAAAAGGGTGGCACTACGATGCAACGATATGTCGTCTATTCCATCTAGTGAATGCTGGAACAGGAGGCTCAGTGATATTATCAGTTTTAAATTAAGACACACTGACGATTAAAATAAGCGGTTAATTAAAAAATTACCTTATCAGCTTTTTCTTTCAAGCAAATTTCGATGACTGAAGAATCGACTAACGCTACTGCTGTCAAATCCAAAAACTGCATATTTGGACAGTGCGCCAGCGCCCAGTGCACTATGTCACTGATATTGTGCAATTCACATAAAGATAAATTAAGCACTTCCAATCTCCGCTCGTCGTCTGGCTAAAACAAGAAAATTCTACACATAAATTTCGCAATAACAGCCATCTTCCTCGATCATAATAACCATAAAATTCTTTCAACAAAAGAACGTCTCATGCTGTTGAATCAATAATTTTTGAATTTTCCGTCATTAAAAACTATTTAATTCCAAGTTTTCCTAAACGTGGACCCTTGCGCAACGCGTCCAAGCTGTTTATTGGAAAAAAGATAAAAAAGGATTGCCCCCGTGCAAAATATAGATATTATATTGCGCAAGGCATTTCTAATACAGTTTGTTTTCGTTACGTTTATTTGG